TCAATTGCCCTAAATCTTTTCAATAATAAGAGATGGAGAGAGTGGATATGGAAAAAGAAAATGTTAGTATTAGGAATGTGGGTATAATTTTGGACTAGATAAAAAGGTAAAGTAGGAAAAATAAAGGTGGACAGAATCAAACTGATTTGGGAGCTAATAAATGTAGGAATGTGGGTATAATTTTGGACTAGATAAAAAGTAAAGTAGAAAAAATAAAGGTAAACTAATTTTGGACTAATAAATGTTACCATAAAAACATTCGTGTGCCAAACACACGATAACCCATATGACATTTTCCCGGAAGCAAACACCGCTAGAATTTCAACTTAAAATTCACTTAGAGCTTGATTGCTCTGGGATGGATGTGTGTAATTTGGTGAGATTGTGTCTATAAGTTGAATTATCTGAAAACAGTAAGAATAATTGCAATTCTGATCTCTAGTTTTAACTTTTAACAAATGGTTGACTTAGTCCCTCTGTTTAAGTGCAATTATTTCATGATTAACCTGTGATGTGACTTTAGTCTGTCACTCTTTCAGTCTTAAGTCCGTGAGAGACTTAAGAATGTATCTCTTACAACTGTAATAACGGGAGGACTAGGTGAAATATCCCTCAAAATGATGAAGTAAACATAAATTAATAAGCATGCCAGATCAAAATGTTGCCATAACATCACCAGTGTATCATAAAGGTCTTTTTTTTGTAATTTGTTACCTCCTTTTATCAGCTCCAGTCGACTATTTTGATAACTTTGTGGTGCCTGACTGCATTTGTGGCAAACTGCAAAATAACCAATGGCCACGAGTCCACGACCGGTTTGTCTTTGAATCGGGGAGTCGAACGTCATAGAACTTTTTGTCAATGATCTTCCGAGATGATTTCTTGTATGTGTTGTTGAAACTTCCATAGTATGTTTGGATCCTAGAAAATGGTGGAATAGGAAAATAAAGGCTAAGAAAAATTATTTTTTTTGCTTATCTTTCTTATCTTTTTGGCTCTAATATCATGGATCGATTCATGTTACCCGACCCCAAAATCTTTTCGGAATAAGGCTTGGATGTTGTTGTTTTTTTACATTTCTTGATCTTTATAAATACGAACACACAAATAAATGACTTTCAAGAAACATCTAAGATAAATGCGGGACTAAACGCCTGGAAGGTACTGTTTCCTAAGGCGACGCATGTTCTGCGACTTATAGAATGCATTAGCGCCATGTCAGCTTCCGTGGCAGATTGAGACTTGGCGAAATGATAGAAGTGGCATTTTCTTCCCCCTTCCATTTCAGCTAAAAATATATAGTCAGATATGTAAGCATTCAGATAAAAAGAATTTGGCCGCTGGCCGATAAAGCTAATAAATGAAAAGCTGGGTGTTATGAAATGGACAATTAACGTGTAGGTGTCTTGGTACCATGTTTTTAATGCTAAATCTATTGGCTTGTTCTTATTTGTGATATGTTCACGTGTTTCTTTTCCAAATGCAGTTTGACTCAGAGATGTCATGTGAGCCATGTAGGGGCATGGGATGGATTCTTTGCGATTTTTGTAAAGGGCTGAAGACTAATGTACAGTCTGAAACTAAAAAGATTTACCGGCGGTGTCCTTCTTGCAGGGCTGTAAGTTGTTCCTTAAGTTCTTTACTCACTGGTGTTTCGTTTCTTATGATTGGGAAGCTAGATTCTCTCATGCAAGGCTTGGTATGGTCTTTGAATGATATTTTTACTATGATTATGTGAATTAATAATTAAGAGTAGTAATTTGGTGTTTGCAGATCGGATACCGGGTGTGTTGGAAGTGCAAAGTTTTCAAGTGCGTAACATACCCAATCGCAGATGATCATTAGAAACCAAACTTGTAATTGTAAACATATATGCGTATAATTAACACATTCGATTAAATGTGTCAATTAGTTTGATTTGTTGTGAGGAGGGGATGGCCCAAGAGTCCCGATAGATAGGGATTAGGGGATGGCCCATTTGAGTTTGACAACTTTCTTTTTTTGTTGTCCCAAAAAACTTTGCCACTTTCCTATTAAAGCAACTAATTTATAGTTCTGCATATTTCTCTTCCCTCTTCACAAATCTCAACCACACAGTTTTTACTCTTCTTATTTCTCACCTACTTTGCACTTGACGGAGGTAGTATAATACATCTTGGATTAAGGATGTTTTTACTTGGACTGTTTTCAGTTCCAGATCAGACCAAACTAGACCGGTTTTGACCAGACCAAACTTGGATAGTTATAAAATACACATAAATCAGACATTAGACCAAATCAGACTACACCATCAAATTTCAGTCCAAGTAAAAACATCTAAAATGAATATATGATTTTGGAATGAGAGTATACATATGAAAGATTGATTTGATAATGGTTTGTCTCCATTCTTCTCTATTTATTGTTTTTAAATCAGATATCATATTATGTCAGGTTAGTTGAACACAAATTCTTTCCATTTATATTTATGATGAGAGGGTAAGATCAGTTAAATTTAAATATCAGTTATATTTATATTAAACTTTGTATCCTATGAATGATTCACAAATTGACGCGTTGCTACCGAGGCATTGCACCAGGTTTTACACTAGATTTTTCTCTAATTTCAAGCATCAACTTTTTGTCATACTTGAATTCTATTTTGAGTTTACTTTGAGCATGATTTTCAATATACTTATAAATCATTAGAGAAAACTATCGAATAAGCTCCGTACTTAAAAACAAGTCAATTAGACCCCCCAGCTGAAATATCATCGAATCAAACCCTACAACAACAACAACCTTCAAGCCTTAGTCCCAAAAAATATCATCGAATCAAACCCTACAATGAGAAAATGAAAATTAATAATCCCACCTTTTAACGGTCTTCTGACAATATTCTCATCTAATCGTAATTCAAGAGTAATTCCACCTTTGCTCCACATCTTCTTTCGTCGGTTCCTGACCGGTTGATGACCTGCTATTCTAGGTTATTTCCTTTTCATTGCAAAACATTGAGCTATAAATCTCACCTTTCACAAATCTTCTCCAAACGGTCCCACATATCATTTTTTTCCCTAAAAGTTTTTTTATCATCTGGACTCTTTTTTCCCTTTTTTGTCTTCTTATTCTTATTTTTATTTATTTTCCATGTTTATGTATTTCATTTTTTCCCTTTTCTCCCATTTTTTATGTATTTTTCCAGATTAGTTTCCTTCTTATAAAGGCCGGATCTTTTTCTCACCCTACTAATTTTTAATTTACTTTAATTTCTTTTTAATTAAACTTATTTATTTCCATTTTCCTTTTCTTACCTTGATTCCACCGCTAATATAGTTTGGCAAAGAGCCCTAAATAGGACTAAAGTAATCACTAAATGCACAAATAGGAATATGACAGGTGTTGTCATTTTTTTATTAATTATACTTAATATTCATTTTCATGTTTTTCGTTACTTGTCTACTTTTTATCGTAATAAAAGTTATGTTATTACTTTTATGTTTTAATTATTAATGAAATATGAATTGTATTTGAACAAAGTAAGGGTGGAATTGGAAAGGTAGTTCTGTTTAGAAAATTTCAAAGATATACTTCTATTCTTAAAATTAAAGTTTCATTTAGTCCTATTTGGGGAATTTCCCCCGCATTTTTTCTCTTTTCTGAAACATTCAAAGAAAATATATAAACAAGTAGTCAGGAAAAAATTATAAAAAGATATTACAATAAAATAGGAATACATAAAAAGGAAAGAGATAAAAATAGAGGAGAATGAGAAAAAAAAAAGAAAAATCTATCGAAACAGAAATCTATAAAAAACTCTCATGGTAAATGGATAAAGGAATACATGATCAAGATAAATAAAGAAATAATTACATAATTGTGACTAAAATGAACACCATTTACAAAAATATGATTAGTGACCAGATTGGTAATGAAATTATAGTAATTATGTTCAATGTTTAAATTTAAGTTACTATGGAACCACATTGTAGTAACTAATAGTCATATTTGTGTAAATAACTTATACCATCGTAATATTTTTGTAAAAAAACCCATAAAAATGAAAAAAGGGAATAAAAGCATTGTGATGATAGAAAAAAAGAGAAAATTTTTAGGGAGAAAAAAGAAAAATCATATGTCGGACCGTTTTGAGAAGATTTGTAGAAGGTGTGATCTATGGCTTAATGATTTGCAAAGAAAAAAATATCCTGGAATAGCAGGTCATCAATCGGTTAGGGACCGATAAAAAAAGATTGATTACAAAGGTGAGATTATTTCTGAATTACGATTAGGTTGGATTATTGTAAGAAGATTTTTAAAAGGTGTGATTATTAGTTTCTACCCCCCTTCCAACTTATTTAAAAGTGGCAAATACACTTTTTAGCACGTAGCCTCCCAGTTTCCTATTAAATTGCGTGTATGGCGTATGATGTGGCATTGTTTATTTTTCTTTTCGAAGTGAAGAAGGAAAGTAAAAGAAAAAAGTCACACCATACACCACGAACGCAATTTAACCTGAATTTGGGAGGGTGTCTGCTAAAAAGAAGATGTCACTTTGAAATGGGTTAGAGGCAATATTTCAATTGGAGGGTCTAATTGACTTTTTTAAAAGTAGGGAGCTGAGATTTATTTGATTGTTTTCTCAAATTATTAAGATGTGTTCAGATGACAAACTAAGACATAATTTTGTTAGTGTGTTTTGTATGATAAGTTGAACTTGATTTGATTTGAAATTAATTAACTTGTTTGAAATCTTATCCTATTATTTTTTGTCTATTTTAAAAGACTATTTTATGCATTAGTTAGCTCATAATATTTTGTCTGTTCCGTTAAGATTATCTTATTTTTTATTTTCGATATGTTCCACTAGAATTATCTCGAATCAAATTTGGTAAAATTTTTATTGTTCTAAATTATTTTCGATATGTTATGAATTTAATATTCTTTTGAAACATATTATTATCCTTTTATTAATGTCCATATCTTTCACTTTTATTGAGGCAGTTATATTCTTGTCCTAACCGTTTTCTCAAACTATCCTTATGTTGTGGGGTTTCAAGTCTGGAAGCAGCCAGCTAAATTAATTACGAAAGACATATATTCTCTCCGTAGATTCTACGTTGTAGGTAGCCGCCAAAAGCAGCTCTCTCAGCAATTCAGCCTACCTTCAGTCCAAAGCCAGCTTTTGATGATCGAACATATATACGGTGTAATTCGTTCATTTTCCGATCTGTACATTATCTGTAAGCTAGCTAGAGATATAGTATTGTTCATATTTCCCCGCGAAACGCTGATTCCGGCCATCAATGTCTTCCCCACCGGACGGCAGCTTCTCGACGCAGCTCATAGACGGCAATGGAGAGTTCAACGTCCAAGGACTGCAAGGTTTCATGGACGCCATTAAGTTCCATCAGTGCGGCCTCTCCTATGCCGTTGTGGCTATTATGGGTCCTCAGAGTAGTGGTAATAATTCTTCAATATTTAATTTAATGCGGGCCTTTTGAATTTTAGTACTAGTAATTCTTTTTTAGTTTAAAAATGGTAAGAGATTGATATTTTCAAATCTCACATTGCTGCAGATTTAACAAATTTTTTCATAACATATTGTGTAATAATACCGAGTATATTAATATACAAAGTATGCTCAAACTAGAATATTTGAACACCGAATATGTTGTAACGGATAAATAGCACACTCCATTTGTATTAGTCCATTTTTTCATTGCGTAATCAATAATCTGTTGTGTGCAGGGAAAAGTACTTTACTGAATCATCTCTTCAGCACAAAATTCAAAGAAATGGATGCTTATAAAGGGAGGTGAGTTTGCCGGAATAGTTAATTGTGTGGCCTTATTAATGCAACTTCTCCAATATATGTATATACGGAGCATAGTTAATTAGGAGAGTTTTATTTCAGGAATCAAACAACGAAAGGCATATGGATAGCAAAGGCGGGGGCGGTTACTGAGCCGTGCACCATCGTCATTGATTTGGAAGGCACCGATGGCAGGGAAAGGGGTGAGGTATTATTGATCATTGCATTTATAATATTATACTTTGTATTCTTTTATTATACGGAGTAAAAGATAATGTAATAATGCATACTATGAGTGAAACAAATGTAGCTCAACAACTCTGATCTCCAGTTGAATTATGTACTAAAGGGAAGACTTACATAGACTTTTCTGGCCTGGTGGTTTGCAGGATGATACAGTATTTGAGAAGCAAAGTGCTTTATTTGCTTTGGCAATTGCAGATGTTGTGCTAATAAACATGTGAGTTCTTTGTGCTTCTCTTAAACTGATCACTTGCAGTAAATCTTGGATTACAGTTCAGTGATATTTTTCTTCTTCTTTTCCTTACTTATATGACATGTCAAATTTACTGTCATGCAAATCTCTTAAATTAGCCATGACGACTGTTTGGTTCTCATTTTCTTTTGAGATGTTGTTTTGGCTGGTAGTGTCATACTGTCAATTGTGTCGAAGTATTGTACTATTTTTTGCACCGGAGGATATTATTTCATTATAGATAAACATTTTCAATATTCACTAACAGTTAATTTTACCTTTCATCACTTATAGCTGGAGTCACGATATTGGGAGGGATCAGGCTGCCAACAGACCCCTCCTGAAAGCTGTATTTCAGGTACAAGCAAGCAGTAATAGTTCATTATTATTATTATTATTATTATTATTATTATTATTATTATTATTTACCATCAGTTGGCTCCAGAGATTCATTATTTTTGGTGTTCAATGCACTGCCTTGTTGTTCTTGATGTTATTTTCACTATTATTACTACGTATTATTTTTACTTTGATAGGTCATGATGCGCTTGTTTCGTCCTCGCAAAACTACCCTTCTGTTCATTATACGTGACAAAACAAAGGTTAGGTCTACACTATAAATGAACCTGCTGCAACTGCTCACATAGTGGCTACTTGTTGACCTACTAGCTAACCATTAGTTCTACAGTCTAATATCCTCTCCTTGGCCCTTCGTGCAGACTCCATTGAAGCAATTGAGTTATATTTTGCAGAACGATATCCAAAAGGTAGCTTACCTTAGTAATATTGTTATTGCATTGTGATAAGCCCATGCCACTTCTGCAAAATATATATAAACATTCATATAAGTTAAACCTTATATGCACTTCAAGTCTTACTATGTTATCAAAACCAATTAAGGGCAAACTTATAACTGATCCGATTAAAACTAAAACAAATAGCATACCGATCTCCAAGAATTTTCTCTCTAACGAGCAACCATCTTGCAACTGCAAAATGTAAAGATATATACACAATATAAAATACAAACTCACATTTGTAACTTTGGGTGTTTCCCATGCAAGAAAATAGAGAGTATTTTTATTATCAGCTTATATGCACTTTGCAGATATGGAATGGAGTTCCTAAGCCACAGGCTCACAAGCACACTCGACTGGATGAATTTTTCAATGTAAGAACTTCATCCTCCTTTTAATGTTTGTTAGCAAAAATAACAGTATGATACATTTTGTTTTTAATATTGGTATCTACTTTGGATGTGAAGGTAAAGGTCCATGCCTTGTCAAGCTATGAGGCGAATGAAGAAAAGTTCAAAGAGGAGGTGGCTTCTACAAGCCTAAGAGTTTTTGTATTTATATTATACCATTTGTAACAAGAACAATAGATGGAGATTTTAATGCGCTCAAAGTCTGTGTATTCAGGTTCTTAAGCTTAGAGAGCACTTTTATAAGTCTACTTCTCCAGGAGGTATTGCTGGGGATAGACAGGAAGTTGTAGCAGCTTCAGCATTTTCATATAGTGCACAAATGATATGGAAAGCTATCAAAGAGAATAAGGATCTTGACCTGCCCGCTCACAAGGTTGAGTTTGGTTTTGATATATTAATGTCTGTTTTACCCTATGTATTTCAATCACAATAGCTACATATACTGACCGAGTCACAAATGCATACTTGCTTTATGTAGGTCATGGTTGCCACTGTGCGCTGTGAAGAAATTGCCAATGAGAAGCTCAGTCTCTTGACAAAGGATAAGGTTTTTTTTTTTCAGTTCTCATTTTAAACCAGAACCTCCCATTTGTGTACTCTGACATATTATCTGCATAGGATTAGTTGGAGGTATCTCATTTTATCTTTTTATCTTTCTTATCTTCTTTATCTTTTATCATTTGTTTATATTAACTTTTCTATCTTTATCTTATCTTTTTATGTTTTTATCCTATCTTATATTTTAGCTCCAATTTCATTTGTCGATTCAGGTTAGCCGACCCCACACTCTTTTGCTACTAAGTTGGATGTTGTTGTTGTTTTTGCAGGATTGGTTGGAGGTTGTATGCTCAGTTCAGGATCGTGCAATTTCCAGATTTGGTGAAAGACTAAGTCGGATAATAGATACCTGTCTGTCTGAGTACGTACAACACTCTGAGTTTGGGAATTCAAATACTTAATAGTGCAAGATTTAGTGCTAACTTCGATGCTAAACGCTGTTTTACTGTTTTAGTTTATGGAAATATATCTACTGAGTGAGTGGATAAATTTGGGAGGGAAATGAAGGACTTTGGTTGGGCGATACCAACCCTAAGAAAAAATTTAAGTTTGCATGGTTTCTTGATTTGCCAAGTATTATGTTATTAGCAAAGAACAATATCTCAAGCCCTGAGATCTTTGTTGTTTTGTCTTTGTAAATGCTGTTATTGTTCATAAATTAGAGGCCTACTATGTGGAGTTTGACATTACATTTTATAGATATGATGGCGAGACTATATATTTTGAAGAATCAGTAAAAAATGCTAAACGCCGAGATCTAGAGTTGAAAATTTTGGAGGTAATTGCTGTCTTCCATGTACCTTGGTAATAGGATGGATGCTTTGTTATTATCGAATACCCGAGCACTCACAATGCTAAGCTTTTTGCAGAAGTTTCGGCCTGCTTATATTTTCCAACTAGACCATTTATGTGCTGCTGAATGTGAAGCTTTTAAGGTAAAACTGGAACAGTCATTGTGCAGAGGAGAAGGGTTTGCTTCTTCTGTCCGTCAACATACGCAGTCAAGTGTGCTTCTTTTTGACACAAAATGTTCAGGTATGCATACTAAGGTGTGAAGCTCATGTTTAGGGTATATGTTCATGATGATGGTCCAAATACATAAAATCTACCAACTCACTTGACCTACACATTCTCATGAACAGTCATTATGCAATTTATTTTAGAAAATATCTCGTTTTTGGTCCCTTGAATATTAGGCCCTTCTCAATCCTGGTCTCTAACTTTCATTTTTCCACTTTTGGTCGCATGACTATAGACTTTTGTTCGGTCCCTCTGACCACTTCCCTGGCAATTTCCGGTTGATCTGTGCTGGATAAGTGACCAGAAAGGACCAATGTGACAAAAGCACGGTCATGCACCAAAATGGAAAAAATGAAAGTTGTGGATGACTAATAGGAATGGCTCAATAGTTGCCGGACCGAAGGGTGTGTTATTTCCATATTTTGCCGTAACTAATTCCAACTTGGTTTAACATGCTTCTAATATCACTTCATACGAGCATTTGAGTTTGAAACATTTACTGCTTACCTGTAAGGATGAGGCATGAGGAGTTTGTATGAAGGAATTTGGAAATTAACTAATGTGAATTTTTTGTACTTTTTTTATCTTGCATATTCTAGTTACAGAGTAATTAAACTCTGAATCTGATAACTGTTTTCATTTTGGTAATCAATTGTGCCTAAAATTCAGAAGCTGCAATAAAGCAAGCTAAGTGGGATTCTTCAAAATTCCGTGAAAAGCTTTGCCATGATATTGCGACTCATGCATCTTCTGTTCGTAATGATAGATTGTTAAAATTAGAGTCTAGCTACAAGGTACATAATTCTCCATGGTTTTGTACGAGCGGCAATTTCAAGTTTATATATGACAGACAGCTCCTTCCATTCCTATTTCCATTTCTGCCGTTGGGGGTAGGGAAGTGAAATGAAGAATTAAATAATCGGGTTTAATTTGCATTTTCCACTTTGCAGAAACAGCTTACAACAGCACTCGCGGGACCTGTGGAGTCACTGCTAGATGCTGCCGACAGAGACGCATGGGCTTGTATCAGAGATCTTCTGAAACGAGAGATTGATGTGGCACTAGCAAATTTCTATGCTGCGGCATCGGGCTTTGAATTGGACAAAGAGGTATTGAATAAAATGGAGAAAAGTTTTAGGGACTATGCGAGAAGTGTTGTGGAGACAAAGGCAAGACAGGAAGCTGGGAGGATTTTAATTCGCATGAAGGATAGGTAATGAAAAGTAGCATGTTGCATTTCTATGAGAACTTGACTTCTGAGTTTTGTATATTTTTGGTCATTTAGGTTCATGCATGTATTTGGCCATGATATTGATTCAATTCCAATGATCTGGACTGGCAAGGAAAATATTAAAGCAATCACGAAGAAGGCACAGTCTGCGGTAATCTAAATATCGATGTCATTATAAAAAGTCAAATTCCCTGATTGTTTGGAACATTGCAACTAAATGTACAGGCCTTGAACTGCTCTTCTTATCATATATGTAGTATCTTTTAGGGTGGAACATCAAATTTTAGTATAGTAAAAAACATATGACGCTCAAAAGAGCGACATCTTATGGGTGGGACATTATTGCATCAAGTATAAATATGCAACTTACTTGGACTTCTCTAGAACCTGACATCTTAATTTGACGATGTGGAAAATACATTGCTAGTTATCATTTTCCCTTTGTGTTTTTGACAGTCCCTAAATCTTTTATCCATTATGGCGGCTATACGCCTGGATGACAAACCTGACAAAATAGAGAGCATACTATTTTCTTCACTATTGGATGAAGCATCCTCAAATTCCAAGGAAAGATCAATTGGAGTTTCTGGTGACCCTCTTGCTTCAAGCAAATGGGAAGAGGTCTGTCTGTTTGAATGTCTCTCCCAGTTGAATTTATTTTACATGAAATCCATTTCTCACAAGTTGCAGTTTAACAGGTTCCACCAGATCACACACTTATAACACCATATCAATGTAAACAGTTGTGGGGACAGTTTAAGATGGAAACAAAGTACACCATTAGCCAAGCCTTATCTGCGCAGGTATGGCAGATTGGTATACTGTCTTCTTCCCTTCGGATGATATCAATATTGATACATCTCATGGAACTCTCTGTTTGGCTTTCTTAATTGTTTTCCCTTCGTTTGACTGTGGTAATGCATTATAAAATTACCTTTGTCATTTTGTTTAGAAGAGACAGTTTTCTTTATTTAGTTTTAATAAACAAAGGTCGAAATGTTACATTTTTACAAGGTAGGTGACACCTAAGTATTATTTCAGGTAGCATACAGGCAAAACAATAATTGCTTACCTCCCTCATGGGCGATTCTGGCAATGATTGTATTGGGGTTCAATGAATTCATGCTTCTGTTGAGGTTTGCAGCTCATTTTAGGCTATTATTATTATTTTTGTGGTCTTTAGTTCTACCTACACTACACATTGTCCTCTGCTCAATCGAGTTGAGTAGCTTTCATTTTCTGTTTATACTCTGGATTGAAACAGGAGTCCTCTTTACTTGATGGTTTTATTCGTTGTATTTTTACTTGGGAAAGCCATGTGGGTACAGATGGACATTTCGAGAAAGTTTCAAAATGGCACTGTATGTAAACGGCTACTCTCTCCCCTCCCCTCTTCATAATAAGACATGAATGCAGTTTGGTTAACAAAAACATTATATATGGCGGGCACACACATATATGAAGGGGAAATTTTACTTTGAACCCCATGTTTTGGACAATATTGGAATGTGCACCCTGTTCCAGAAAATATTGTGTGCTGCCCATTCTAGTATGAGTCCATTCATTTTTTTTTTTAAATGGGGTGAAAAGTCATCGCCCAAAACATGAGTTGATATAGGGCAATTATTAGTTGCTTAACATACTCCATACAATTAGTTTATTCTTCACAAGCTATGCTCACTGGGTTTAGCATGCAATGCAGCTCTCTGGACTTTTTTCGAGATTTCTTCCCACGGTAATGAGACTTTTAAGTGGCCTTGCTCATGAAGCTCAGGGTCGTCCCTCTCCAGAACCATCCAAGCCTCCTCAAAGCTATAGAAAATGAGCCGAGAATCAATCGTCGTATATGTTCACTCACAGACAGTGATGTTCATGCAAAAATGGAGCAGAAATTATGTTGTATGTTGTGCTTGTATCGTTTTAGAGACCACAGTATGGTACTACTATACACATTCATACTTCAGCATTTGCCACATACTAAAACATTGACTTCATCTACAGCGATATACAAATGTGTACATTATGCGGTCTCCACTAGCCTAACAGTTCCACAAACATGTCTTTTCCGTTTAAACTGTTGATGAACTCTCTTACAATCTTTAGTTAATTAATTAATATTGGTCATCTAATTGGGGTTAAACTTTTAATTGGTTTAATGATGGACTGAACCTATGTTTCAGTCTCTATAGAACTAGGGTTGCTATATATATATATATATATATATATATATATATATATATATATATATATATATATATATATATATATATATATATATATATATATATATATATATATATATATATATATATATATATATATATATATGCTTATTCCCTATGGAACAACAACACCATATAAGTGATAAATATCTTCCTGTCAAGAATCTCATAAGGATCTCATAAGGAAAGAGGTCATACAGGATAAGAGATTTATTCCAGTTCATTCATGATCGAGCCATCGAGGTATTCCTAAATCTCAGATCTATCAGTATAAGGTCACGTATAATTATATAGAAATTGCCCTAAATAAGAGTAAAAACGTTTTGAAATTTCAAAATAGGACTTTCAAGTTTTGATTCCCTAAATAGGAGTAATTTTGCCAAATTTGGAAAAAAATGTCATGTTTAAAGCCTAGTAATGCCAAACTTGGCAGGAAGTTACTCCTATTCAGGGAATAAAAAACATGATAGTTCTATTTTAGAATTTCAAAACTTTTTTTCTCTGAATTCTTTCATAATTATATGATGTTGATCTAAGAATAAATCTTACAATTGGTATCAGAGCCGGATCACTTTGACACTGAAACGCACGGAAACGCAGGGGGTAGGGAGTTTCCCCGTTCCGGAAACGTTCGAACGTTTCCGAGCGCAGGAAACGCGCGATACGCGAATCTGGGCCGTTTCCCAATTTTGTAATTTTTGGAAACGCGTTTCCAAAATTTTAAACGCATATCCGATCAATTTTAGGGCCTCCTCAAATGGAACAATCAAACCTTTCATCGTCCGCTCTTCGTTCTTCAACCCTAAGGCCTACGAGTACGCAATCTTCCTTCCGTCCGCACTCCGCAGAGTTCGCCGGCTTCTCCAAAGGGCAAAGCCGCAAAGGTCGTCCACTCGTCCGCAGGCTTCCGTTCAGGTATTTCAGAGCACTGGTTTAGGTTTTTCATCCTCCCCATCCTTCGTAAAGATGAAACGCACGCTTAGTGGGCAGTGAGTTCATTTAGTCAATGACTACATAGAGCTGAAATGTTGAATTGATTTAAAAGAAAGTACTACAATTCTTGTGAATGAAGCAAATCTGTATATTTTTTCTGGTTTTATTAAAATCAGCCGTTTTATCTATTGGATATTGTAGTGGCTAATGGATTTATGCCTTTTTCCTTCGTAATGGCAGCTTTTTTAATTGATTAAATTTGAATTGTTAAATGTTGTATAATTCAATTTAATTAGTTTTTGTATATGCAATTAAGTTTTTAATTAGATTAATTCAATTTGATTAAGTTTTGATTAACTTAGATTATTTTTAATTCTCTAGTGATGGAGCACAGTGTTAATAATACGTCAATGTCACAATTTAAAGAGGATGTAAGTAGTCCTTTGTGGCAATTTGTTAAAAGACTCCAAAAAACTGGTGATGGAGGTGGCAATGTGAAATGGATTTGCAACTTTTGTGGTAGCCAAAAACAGGGGACATACACTAGAGTGAGAGCTCATTTACTCAAACTGCCTTCAAAAGGAATTGCTGTATGTCCAAAGGTTGGGTCGGAGAGCATTTTAGAAATGAAAAAGCTTGAAGAAGATGCTGCAAAGCAAATTGGTGGTTCACAACCTAAGCGAGTATACTTGCCTAGTAGTAGCACGCAAAGCAGCTCAACATATTTATCGATAAATGAACCAAGTCATTTAGAGATGATGAAAAGAAAAGTCGATGACTCGCCCATTTCCAAAGCTTTTGATTTGCAAACTAGGAATCAGCTAGACGAAGAGATTGCAAGGATGTTCTTCACCAGAGGTATTCCTTTCGATTTTACAAGAAACCCATATTACATAATCTCGATATTCACAATAATCCCAACCTTCATAACAAATGCAATATGTATCTACCAACCTTCATACCAACCATATTACATAATCTCGATACAGAATCAACCTGCAATATGTAATCAACCTTCTCCCACATTTGGTGTTCATTCACAATAATCTACGCTTAGTTTCAAGAAATTCTGTCCAGTATGAAGATGAGAACACTAAGATGTGGGATGTTGGTGGGGATCAATTTGAAGGTAACCCCCGGGCCGGGCCGGCTAAGACAATTTTGGCACTATAATGTTGGTGAGAACACAGACTTTGAACTAGGGTTGGACTCGGGTCGGGCCAACCGGCCCGGAACCGGACCGGCCCGCTACTGTGCGGGCCCGGACCGGCCCGGTGAACTCGTTGGTTGGCTGGTTCGGGCCACCCGGCCCGGTGGGATGGCGGTTTGGGCTCGGGCCCTTCAAAAGGTGAACCGGCCGGTTCGGGCCCGGGCCGGGCCATTTTTTTTTTTGAATTTTTTTTAAGTTTTTGGGTTGGGCTGGGTGTATTGGACCATTTGAGGTGGTTAGGGTTGGTTTGGGGGTGAGGGGAGGGTTAGGGGTTAACTAGGAAAAGCCAAAAAAAAAAAATAGAACCGAGGCCCGGACCCGAGGGTTACCCGGGACGGTTCCGGGCCTCCCCTTCATGAACCGAGGCCCGGCCGGGCCCAGGCCCGAACCGGAACCGGTCCATCCCTACTTTGAACACAATATCCGATTTTGTACACTATAATTTCTCAAGAAAATTTCAATTACATCGGATTCTTGCACCTCGGACGATCACAATAATTTCACACATGTAAATCCTAACAAGAGTATTGACATTCTATAGGTGATTTGCTTCTCTAACTCGTTGTATCTTGTACTACCTCCCTCCCGGTGGATTTTGCCAAGTGCAAAATATGTGAGAAATAAGAATAGTAAAAACTGTGTGATTGAGATTTGTGTAGAGGAAAGAAAAATGTGCAGAACCATAAATTAATTGTTTTAATAGAAAGTGTCAAACTTTTTGGGACAACCAAAAAATGAAAGTTTACAAAGTTTTTTGGACAAAGTTGGCAAAGTCCAATGAGACGGAGGGAGTATATAAGTAGCGTGTAAAAAAATAAAAAAAAATGAAAGAGAATCACCCCTCCCGTTCAACCAACTTCTGGTACTATCACAACAAACATTTTTTATACCCGCACAGGTGGCTCAATTGGTTGGTTGGTGGAAAAATTGAAGATATGATCAAGATTCAAAACCCGCAGTGATCATGTGGAGGTAACCCCCGGGCCAGGCCTCGATTCTAATTTTTTTTTTTTTGGCTTTTCCTAGTTAACCCCCAACCCTCCCCTCACCTCCAAACCAACCCTAACCACCTCAAATGGCCCAAAATACCCTGCCCAACCCAAAAACTTAAAAAAAATTCAAAAAAAAAAATAATAATAAATTGGCCCAGCCCGAGCCCGAACTAGTGTTGGATTCGGTTCGGGCCACCCGGCCCGGCCCGCTACTGTGCGGGCCCGGGACCGGGTGTAGACCCGAACCGGCGGGGAGAGGCGGGGCGGGTACGGTTCCTGAAAAAGTTGACCCGGCCCGGCCGGGTCCGGGTCCAACGGTCCAATTTAAAAAAAAATGTTGGATCCCAAACTAGCCGTTATGGCCTTGAGGGGTGGGCTGGGGACAACCCAAACGGCTATATAGCCGTTGGGTGGGGTGCAAAAAAAACCTATAAATACTCCTAATCTTAAACATTTTTTCTCTTACTCTCCAATATATTATATTTATTATTTATATATCTACTTTATACTTAAGAAGTTAAGATGGAAAATCAAGATGCCATTATACGGTATAATTTTGATAAGCAGAAGGACCCGAAGATCGGGATGTGGTACGCAACTTGCAAATGGTGCGGGGAAAAATGTAGCATGGGAGTTTCAGGCGGATACGAGATGGCAATGAAACCTATGAAGTCATGTGACAAAGCCAAAGGATCAGGAGGTGCGGGAAGTTCTGATTGATTACAATTTTCAAAATGTTTCTCTTAAAGTTTGTTTTAATTTTCAAATGTAGTTCCTATTTCATTTCAAATAAATGCACTTGAAGTTTGTTTTTAATACTTGTATAAAACTATAAACTATAAAATATAAATTATAAAAAAAACTTTAACCGGCCCGGCCCGGCCCGGCCCGGCAGGTGGCCCGACCCGTGACCCGGGCGGGTGGCCCGGCCCGAACCGGACCCGTCCAACCCTCGGGCCTGTCCCGGGCCCATGTCATACAAACCGGCGACCCGACCGGGCCTAGGCTCGGCCCGACCCGGCCCCAGTCCACGCCTAGCCCGAACCGGCTAGGCCGGTTCACCCTTTGAAGGGCCCGAGCCCGACCGCCATCCCACCGGGCCGGGTGGCCCGAACCGGGCAACCAACCGGTTCACCGGGCCAGTCCGGGCCCACACAGTAGCGGGCTGGTCCAGTTCCGGGTCGGTTGGCCCGGCCCAGGTCCACTCCTATTCCCAACCCCAGTCCCATCCAAATCCCGACACGGGCCCGATCCAATCCTACCTAGGACTAAGAACGGCCGGTTATTTTGCCTGGAATTGGATTATTTTTACGGCTACAGCGGGAAATGGTAAAACTGATGAACCAGATTGGTTCTGTTTCTTTAAAAATATATACACCAAACAGACAAAGTTGTTAATGCCAGCACCGTTTTTCTCCTTTGCTCTTCTAAACCAAAGATTACATCAGTCTCGGATTCCATCGGTTAAACCAAAAACAATGAACCAACACAATATAAATGTACAAAAAAATATGTTTGATGGATTAGGCTTCATTAGTTCATTACCGGTTCACTGAAACTATCTCACAAGAGACGTACAATAATTAATACAGAGTAATTATTTAAGAGGTTAAACCCCCACTCCATTTTACCTGTGAAACCCGTCATACAAAGGATCTTATTATCAGTCGTGCTATGAATTTGCTCAATTCAAAGTCAATTGGTACATCATTAACCAAACCACCAAAACACTGTTAAAACATATGTACAGTGAAACCACATGTATCCAACAGGAAAAATCATCCAATGTACAAAAATCTGTCTTTCATTATCTCCCCAAAAGTCCAAAACAATCCGAAGTACTCAACATTTAGTCATCAGATTTGTCACATTTTAAAATACAGTGCATTGCAGGTTAATATGTCACCTGGGTTTGCTGAATTCTCAAGAGAAACATTGTGAAATCTTCAGTTCTTTAACCATCCAGTTGATGTTAAGAACGGGAAGGTGGGAATGTTTGAAGTGATGCAGTCACCGTGTCACCAACCAACCAGGCTTATACAAACTATCTTTCTTAAAATTGCGACCGGTTACTGATGTGGATTCACCTCTACGGCGAAAGCACTGCACATTTTAGAGAGATCAGTTTACACTTCCAAAATATTCAATAGATACACAGGAGCCTATTGGATGAGCATGTTTTTCGGCTTATCAGGCTTTTTTCACCAAACATGTAAATTTTGATTTAGCATGCTGAATTGTGTAATAATAAGAAAAGGTAAGATTGGAGTTAATTTTTTGGCTGTTTTGGCTAAAATCACTGAATCGGTCAATCCAATCACTTCAGCCAGAACTTCATTAGTTTCAACCCCTATTCTAAAAAGCGGTCTAGTCGGACCGATTAATTGGCCTAGTTGGCCCTAACTGTAGAGCACTAATCAGCCTAGTCGGCCAAAAAATCGGCCTAGGTGACCCTCAACCGCCCGACTAGGGCCGATTCAGCTGATTTTGATATTACCAAACGCGCACTAGAGATGTAGTGCATATAAATGCCAAGATTAATTCTTTTTGGGCCCTAGACTATTGATGCATTGCCACATGAGACATTGGACCCTCCCATGTGCCCACTTCCCAGGCTTCAGTTTCACTAACATGCCCAATAGAACAAGCAACGAAGGTTGTTATCTAGTAGAGTTCAGTTAGAAGCCACATAAATAGTTTGTAGGAGAGTTAAGCTAGAAGCCATAAGAGGAAATAAGAGATAGAGTAAAAACTATGCAGCTAGAGGGAGAGCTGCAAATTGGCAGAATAAAAATGGTCCAATAATTGGGAAATTTGATTATTTGCGGCCAAAACCTGAATTATCTTGTGTTTCCTTATATGTTGAGTCTTAATTTCATGATGGTATCCCACATATCCTTGTTCGGTATTGCTTCCTCTTTGTTTTCTGTTTCTCAATTTTTTTTAAAACTTAAAATAAGATCACAATAACCAGAAAAGCGGTTTAAATTTTTGGTCGGAAATTTTGAAAACTAACATGATTAGTATAAATACGACTACTTTTGGTTTTATTATACCTCTACACATACCTTTTAGTCATAAAACCAAATACTGAAAATTCGCAAACCCAATGGGCCCTGAACTGCCATTTTCTGGTAGCATTGAAAATTCTAATAACTTGATATGAGTTCCAATATTTGCATAAACAATGAAAGTACACTGATATTGCAAGGGTTGAAAATAGACTTCTCATTAAGATCAATTATCTCAAATGACACATCGATTAAATGGAGTTAGTAAAGTATTTTTAAAGATCAATAGGCATTGAGTATAAATAATTGTTCCATCAATTATATAGAGCTAACCTTGTAGCAAACAATTGTGTCATCTGGGTACATAGCAAATAGTTTTGTTCCAAGGCGTGCATGACAAGAATCACATAGAGACTCCTCATTGATCAAAACATGACGTGATCTTTCATCCAATCTTGCCAAGCTTGCATCCACTTCCAAAGCACGAGATAGATTGTGTACGATCTTGTAAAATGAGAACAAGTGTCAATGATGAGAGAACGAGATTAGTAAACATATTTCCTCTAAAAGGTCGCAAATTATTTCATGTGGCATGTCATAAAGAGAAAGTGGTGCATCATGCAGGATTGCATATTGAAGGGAAGGAATATCATTTTGAATAAGAACTGATAAAATGTCATTCAGCTTGGAGTAAACAGCAAACTGAGTGAGGGTGGGCTACCTACCAGTCTGCCACTATATTTAATCATCTTCAAATCTCCTCATCTCTGTTTCCATTTTGTTATATATGAAGGTTCTAACAACACATATAAACCAGACTTCCAAAACCGTAAAACTAGAAATAGGTCAAAAGTGAAAAGCTTTTATGTTACAAATACCCATTAATATATATTGTTGATAGGGACCCGGTAGAATAATAGAAAATAAGAAAAGTACCAGCTAGAGTAGTATAAATAGGAGGGGAGAGTGTAATATAGATAGGCTGTTAGACAGTTAGATTGGGCTGGGAGAAATTGAGGCAAGGTGTCTCATTTCTTGTTGGGAACTCTCTGTACATCTTTCTTCCATTAATGAAAGCTTGTTAGTTTCTTGAATACTATTTTACCTTCTTTGAATTGAATACCTACCTGCAAGAGTTCTATCGGTGGTATCAGAGCACGTTGACACCGTGGATGGTCTTTAATCGTGCGCAGTGGATTTACATATCAACAAGCTGGAGAAATCTATGGAGAAAACTACGATGACCTTGGCGGCAATACAGAAGTCACTCACGAAACAGAACAGCAACCAGAATTGTTCAAGGAATCAATCGCTCACTTCGCACAGCTCGCATCGCACTTCGCATCTTAGGCACACGAGAAATTTCGCTAGTCCAGAGGGATCGGAAGATTTACCTCTATTCAATGGGGATGATGCCTATGACTGGTTATTCAGAATGGATCAATAGTTCAGGCTTAATAATGTTGATGAAGAAGATAAAGTTGAAGTAGCAGTAGTCGCGATGGAGGAAAGGGCGTTAGACTGGTTTCAATGGTGGGAAACTCAAACAAGTGAAAAGAATTGGGAAACTCTGAAGGAAGCGATGACTCGGCGTTTCGAACCTAGACGCAGTCGGAAGACAGAATCAAGACTCATCGCGGTCGCGAACGTCTTTCAGATCGTAGACTTCATTATCGGCGACCAGATCACGTAAGACGCAATTGAGATGTGAAGCTCCCAGTTCGCAAATCGCAAACTGTTTCTTTCAGTTCGCAGCCATTTGCAACAGCTGGTCTCACACTGCAGATACCCTCATTCGCGATCAGTTCGCATCAGAATGTAATGCGATCGAGGGAAGAATATTCGTGTTCGCCAGTTCTATTGCAAGTGGTTTCTCAACCTGCACAAGATTCTCCCCAGTTGATAAAAATACCAAGTTGAAGAGACTGAATCTGTAATCAAGAAACCGACGGAAGACGAAAACGAAAAGCAATCTACAGTTGCAGGAGGACCTGAGCTGGTGCAGTTGCTGGATTCCTCAGTCGTTCACAGGTGTCATCTGTTTCAAGAGCCCTAAATTTAGTCAGAGCAAGAGAGGGATTGCAGGGCACTCCATCGTTGGCAAAGAACATTGAGTTGAAGCTAGCCGCATCTTCAAATTTGGAACTGGATACGAGTTATGGTATTAAGCAACCTATGGGGTATCCACAAGAAGATCCGGAAGGTATAGAAAATGTGGATTCAGATTCTAACTCATCTCCAAAAGATGCTTTGATTGAAGGAGTAATTCTTACTCATGGACTAGAAAACATAACACGCCAACAAAAGAAGATAGATGACAGTGGAAGGTGTAGTAGTCTTGAGGTTCCAGATTAGAATTTTCCAGATTTTATATTCTTCCCTCTTCATGTTGATATTGCAATTAGAAATTCCATTTTAAGGATTGCAATTAATCAGATGCAAGAGAGTATAATTGGGACTGTTGTATGCAAAGATAAGTGTGGTTCATCTGTTTCTTTTGCTCTGGTACATTGGAATGGAAAAGGTCCAAGCATCCTTGACTCACCTACCAACTTGGGGGGTGGCCCTTTGAAACAAGGTTTGAAAATGGCCATGTCTCTTTCTGGTGAAAGGACTTTTTTCAGGCAAGAAGACCAATTTTGGAAGTTTGATAGAGAGCAGGGAGAGCAAGGGGCGGGAACGGGCTTGAGC